GCAGAAGAAGAAAAAGTGAAGAGAAGGCACCAACTGTACCCTCGTGGAGTCTCCAAGGCAAGAGTCCTCCCGGCTCAAATTTCTGCCTGCTCTTTCCCTTGATTTGCAGACGTGGCAACTCAAGAAAGTTCTGCCAACACAGTAGGCTTTGAATTATTTGTAATTAATTTGAATTCTAAAACCATGTGTCATCCTGGGCTCTACCAGGAAAACCCACAAGCAGATCTGATTCTTCACGATTTGCCTAAAGCAATTCAGATCCTTGAAAGATGAGGAACTAAATATCACTTCTCTTCCTGAATATCCCATAGCCCAAAATGGATATAATAATTTTCTCTATGATTTTTAAGAAGACTTTCTCTCTCTCTCTCTCTCTCTCTCTCTCTCTCTCTCTCTCTCTCTCTCTCTCTCTGTCTTACTTTAGTCCCTTTCAGAATGCAAGTAGTAAAATGAAAAGCGTTCATATAACTGATTGGCAGACCCTGACACAAAGTGCATGGTGAACACACAGAGGAAGAGAAAGAGGAAAGGAGATACTTATATGCTACACACTTTTATATATAAGATCCAAACAACTCTGTGAAGAAGGTATTAGTGATCTTATTTTACAACTGAGGAAACAGAGACCTAGAATGGTAAAGGATGATGCCCAAGGTCACAAGAGTCTTTATTCAAGTCTAGACTCGTTGCCTGAGCTCCAGCTTTTCCCATTACCTGGCTGCTTTTGCAAGAAGAAAGAAGTAGAGGCTGAGTTGGGGTGAGGGTTAGATGGTATCATGCTCCTTATTATCAATCATCAGAAATACCATTCTACAGTCTTTCCCTTCTACCAAGATGAGTCTATTCCAGCACGTCCCAAAGAGCAACTTTGTTTTAAGGCTGTCTCTGTGGGAAACTTTTCCAAAGTGTGGATGTCAATAAATGTTACACCAAAAAAGAGAGATTTAATCAATAAATAAGATTTGAACTGGTTTCTTTAATGCAGGACACCTCGGAACCTTTATTTTGCTTACAGAGCCCCCATGAATCTTCAAGAGGAAGATATAGTATGACATTAATTAGGATATACCCTAGGCTGCTATAACAAAGACACCCTAAAATACAGCGCCTAAAATAGAATAGGCATTAATTTCTCTTTCATTTATCAGTATAGAGATGAGTGGTCCAAAGCTGGCCAACTGGCTCTTCCATCCTCAGCACATGGCTTCCAAGATGGCGGCAGCATTTGCTATTTTTCAGTCAGGGGAAGCTGGAATAGAGCCAGGGCAAGAAGCTTTCTCTTTAAGGAAATAACATGGGCAGGCAAGGTGACTCATGCCTGTAATCTTAGCACTTTGGGACGCCAAGGTGGGAGGATTGCTTGAGGCCAGGAGTTTCAAACCAGCCTGAGCAAGAACAAGACCCCATCTCTACAAAAATAGAAAAATTAGCCAGGCATTGTGGCACATGCCTCAGCTACTCAGGAGGCTGAAGCAGGGGGATTGCTGGAGCCCAAGAGTTAGAGGTTGCAGTGAGCTATGATGATGCCATTGCACTCTAGCCCAAGTAACAGAGCAAGACCCTGTCTAAAACAAACAAACAAACAAACAAACAAAAAACCAAAAAGAAGATAACATGGAAGTTACACACATCACTTGTGCTTCCTCCCACTAGCCTAACTCAACCACATGGACACAACCAGATACAGGAGAAGGTAGAAAGAGGCAGCCTTCACTTAGGTGCCCAAGTAGTCAGGCTGAAACTCAGGGTGTTTTATTACCAAAATAGACAGGGGGAGAACAAATGCCAAAATCAGTTTCTCATTGTCACCAAATTTATTCACCTATAAAACTCATTTTTATGCAACATCCCCTAGTACTAGTATCTCATTAAATACTGCATCAGTCAGGATAGGATAGTTAATGATACAGTTACAAATAACCCCCACATCCCAGAGGATTAAAACAACTTGAGTTTGGTTTTTATATATGCCCATGGTGGGCTGGGGAGATGGTCTGCTCTTCTTTCTGGGAAGGAGGTTGACAGAGAAGGTATCAGCTAGAACAATGCTGATCCCTGGGGCAGAAGGAGAAAGAGTATAGGTGAACCATGCACCATCACATCTCACTCCTGGCAAAGCTAAGGAGAGCCTGACGGCATTTCACAGCCTTCCTCACATGCATCCTCCTCAAACCAGCCTTTGCTCCCAGCGTTGAAGCAGCTTATATGGCAGCTCCACTCCGATCCCCCCACAGTGCTCCTGTGTCTATCAAGGGGGAAGCAGCCTCCTTCTGTCTCTCTTGCCCCAGTCTTCCACCACGTTGGCTCAGTCACAGTACCAAATACCAGCGCTGGGTGATTGTGGTAATTGACAAAAATGTTTTCAATTACTGCTCTGCCTGTGTCTGTGCACATACTACCAAGAGGCAAGGGCTGTTTCTCCAGCTGTTGAATCTGGGCTGGGTTTGTGACTTGCTTTGACCAATGGAATAGGCAGAGTGACATTGTGCCAGTTCTGAGAGGCCTTGTACACTTCCACTCTCTTTCCCGTGGAATGCTGCCACCACTTCGTGATCATCCCTATGTGAGGAAGCTTGGGTTCTTCTGCTGGTGGATTCGAAGCCACATGGAGCCATCCCAGCTGAGGTTGTCCCAGCTCAGCCAGCCCCAGCCACCCTGGCAGCTGACTGCAGGTGCGTGAATGATTCGTCCCAGATCAGCCAGCCGCAGCCAAACTAAGCCCAGGTTGATGACCCACGGCAGATAAATGGTTATTGTTTATGCCACTCGCTTTTGAATGGAACGGTACATACAAAAGCTAATTGGCATCGTGATTTAAGCAGAAAAGGGATTTATTAGAAGGTTGTATCCCCGGAAAGACTAAGGCATCTGTGAGGCTTACAGGCAGTGCCAGAATCACACCACGGAACCTTCCTGACAAAGATCCCGCTGTGTCTGCCTCTGCAGACACCAGCACTGCAGCTCTACCTGGACCCGGACCCTGGTCGCTACGCCAGGGACCACCGTCCTCAGGAAAATGGATGGAGCTGTTGGTGCGGCCCCATGCTGCCAGAAGCAGGTCACATGCAGGTGAGATGTGCTGCAAAATACATAACAGACACAAAGGCAAGGACACTAAGCCAACAAAGCAGGAGGCCTGGAGCCAGCTCTGCAGGGCCCCAGTGGTGTGACGTTCACGCTTTGCAGGTGCATCGTGAGAAGGTTCATCATGGGATCCCAGGGCAGGAGAAGGAGCACGTGGGCAACATCCCGTTACCGACCACCACAGGAACATTCCAGTGCTTTAACAGCTGGTCATACCATGCCAGTGCCCAACTTTCCCCTGTTAACTCAGTCCCTGGTAAGGAGACTAGAATGGCATGCTGGGCTTGGATTAATCAGGATCCGCCCCCACCTTGGTGAAAAGGGGTTAAAGTCACCTTTTCTGGGCACACAGTCATTCAGTGGGTGAACAAAAGAATCAAATCAGGACTCCACCAGCAAGGAAGGAGGTGATGGGGGAAGATGGATTGGCACAGTCAATAGTGTCTGCGACACATGCCCCCAATCCACTCCCAATGGTGAGATGGGGCTGGGGACAGAGGATGGAGAAGCTCAAGTCCCAAGGGGTTGATTGCTAGTGTCCCCTGGAACATAAGGACGGTCACAGGGGCCTAGAGCAACCAACTGGCCCAGTTTCCCTGTGATGGGGGTTTCCCAAAATGTGGGATTTTCCATGCTAAAACCCGCAAAGCACCGGACAAATCAGGACAAGTGCTTTGTCCTGTCCATAGTGACAGGTCACATTATCCCAAGGCCAAGAAGTCTATGATCAGCCTGAGGTCACTTAAGAGGAGCTAGAATGGGCCAGAGAGGTCAAATGTCTCACCCAAGGTCACACTGCTAATTTATTCATCCCTTGTCTTCGACTGTTCACATGTTCAGTGTCAGCGTCATTTTTACAATCTTGTGACACAGCTATTGTTCTACAGGTGAAGAAGGTGTAGTCATACTATACAATGATAATAATAACAGTTATAATAATAGCTTTTACCAAGTCCCTATCATCTGGCCAGCACGGTTCTAGGCAATTCACTTGTGTTGATCTATTTAACCTTCCCAGCAATCCTAGGAAAGAGGTGCCATATTATCCCCATTTTACAGATGGACAGACTGAGACACAGAGAGGTTAAGTAACTTGCCAATGTCACACAGCTATGAAGTGGCAGGACCGGGACGTCTTGGGCAGCCGAGCTCAGAGCGCACGTTTTTGTCACACACGTTTTTGTCACTCTGTTGCGGTCTAGTAGCCATCGCAGGCTGTGCAGCCTACGGACCGAGCCTATGGACCGAGCCTGCGTTCCAGTCCTCATGCATCCGGGCCCCCACTCCAGAGGAAGTATCCCATCAGGCTGACAGTGTCTAGAGGAAGAGGGACAGGGACATTAAGAAGGGCACAGCTGTGTCACGGAGGTTCAGCGTGAGGGTGCAGTGTCACAGCGAGTATAACATTACGAGCTAGTCGGGCCTGCAACGTGGCGCATCCGCCACTGTGACTCTCAGAGCCCCAAGACCAGAATCCAGACCAAGCGATGGTTAAGGCCCCATCTAGGATTGGGAGAATCAAATATTCACTCCATGATGTGAAGCCAGCAGAAATAACTGAGGTCGGGAATATTGAGGTGGCCACTCACCATGATAGAAAACCAAATTCACCTAAAGCAGCTATAGCGTCATTTATTTCCCTTTTTTCCGTGGTGATTTGTTTTCCAGGCTGCTCTTATGTAAAACTCAGGCCTTTGTTCTCTGAAAGAATAAGCTAACGAAAAACAAGAAACCAGAAAGATTAATTTTTGTTTGTCTTTACAGACACCTTCTGTAATCAAAGCACTTTTGAACCCTCCACCCCTCTCTACCCCCCAAAAAAGGCTGTGTCTGCACTTCTGCCCTTAGAAAGAATGTTGAATTTCTTCTTCTTCATTTTGACATTTTCACTTCCTTTGCTGCACAGGCAAAGTGGCCCCCAGATTTGGGTGGAAGAGGCCCTTTCCACAGCATTTCATGACAGAGTCTTCAAGAGGAACCTGTACTGAGAGTCTCTCTGAGATGATCGGGCTGCTCCATCCGGCACTGTTGAGGTGAGTGAGTGCTCCCGCACGTTGTCTGTGTCCCGTTGCCTGTGAAATGTACAGTGTGCTTTAAGCCGTGACTTAGCAATAAGTAAATTGCATCTTGCCACTGCCATCTAAAGGGGGAACGAGCCAACCACGGACTTTGCCATTTAAATCTCTGCGCGGGCGTGTTCTGGTCACATCGCCTTCTCTCGGACGAGGCCGTAGATGGCTCAGCAGAAGACCGCCCCCAGGCTGCAAAGGATGTGCGGTCCCTTCCCTGGACAGGATGCTCTTCTGTGCAACTCAGGCCGGCAGCACGGCCTCCTCCTTGGAGCCTTTCGCGTCTCCTTGTATTTCTCTAACTCCCCACTTTCTTTTACTCACCTCTGTAGAAAAGCATGAGGAGTTCTCTGCCATCAAAGCCATCTATAGTCCCTCTGGGTACTTAACATTTCAGATGTTTCCTTTAAATAAGCTCCTCGAGGAACGCTTTCATTGGTAGGTGATCCTAACCAAGTAGGTTGTCATCTAAAAGCAGGCTGCTTCCTCGAGGCTCAACCTGGGCTCAGCTGGGGACACAGCTGGGGACACAGAAGGGCCCACCACATACTTGCTGTCCGCGAAATTGCAACCTACTTGGGCTACAAGAATAATGTTCACTCATGCATTCACTCATTCATACACACATTCAATACACAATTACTAAGTGCCTACTGTATACTGGGTATTTAGGAAATAATACAAGTGGTTTTCTAGCTCTGAGCTCTGGCCCTCAAAGCAGGAGCTAGAGAGTGGAGCTATGACAAAAGGGTCACAAATCCACATACACCCCAAGCACTGTCTGCCGATTTTTACTCCCCTCTTATTCATGCATTCATTTGACAAATATCTACTGCATGTCCACAACATGCCTGGTAGAATAATGTCGCAGACATGTGTGTGTATTTTCCAGAAGCATTTGGATGCAGTTGGGATCAATTAAATGTAAGTCCATTTAAGAGTTTTACTGAATTTGTAACGTTCTCTTGTCATTATTTTCTCAGTGGATGTCAAAAGTTCGTTATCATCATAGAACTGCACAAAAAGAGTTAACATTAAAAAATGTGTTCTTCCACTGGAAAATGTGGAGACCTTGTATTACTTCCGTAATAGAAGGCTAATACAAGGTTCACGGCAATTCCAGACGATGTGAAGTTTCTTAGGAGACCAGTAGTTTAGAGGCAAGGAAACCAGAGGGGCTAGGGTAGCCCAGAAAGCACCAGTACTATAGTGAACTAGCCCTTATATTCATCTATGGTACGACAAGGGCATTACTCTAAGTTGTGCACAAAAATCTCTCCTTCAAAATAATTTAATTGCAAATTAAATTACTTTATATGATTATTACATATTATACATGATCAAGAATAAATACATTCAGGCATCCTAATCTCAGCCTTACTGAACAATCCTGATTATTTGGCTCCGTTTTCTGAAGTTTAGGTTTTTCAAAAGCAAAGTATACTGTAATCTTTTGCATTCGTGGTTCTTTACACTTTTCAAAGTGCTTTCCCTATGTATTGTTTAATTGAACATCACTAAAATTATGAGATATGGACAGGACAGGAATCACTGTCCCTATTTCATAGATGAAGTTAGAGCACTTGAAAATAAGAAATGAAGTATACAGATAAGAAATGGGCAAGGGTTAGCTAGGTAAAATGGTCAGGAAAATAGATTACAAATAAATGTAAAAGGATCCTGGGATTTCTAATGTGGATGAGGGAAAGCAGAGGTAAGCTAGAATCCCATTCTTCTACTGGACATCATTCCAGTTCTAGCTAAGACTACCATGCTCACTTTAAATGCCCATCTCCTAAAATTGAAGTAGATATATTTTAAAGGGAGGCCCCCCAAAAAGCAATAAAAATATCTTTGGAAGAATGGAAAGTAAAAACTAGAAAAGAAAGTGTAAGAAGCAGAATGATACATAAGAGGAATATTTAAGGGCAGTTGAGTGAGGTGTAGGTTGGCTGTAAGTTGTGAGGTATAAGTTCAATCACCCAGTAATTTTTGTTAACTGTACTTTCATGGAACAATAATTCATGAGACCTTAAAAAATCATTGGGCTGAACATGATAGCTCATGCCTATAATCCTAGCTAGCACTCTGGAAGTCTGAGGCAGGACGATGGTTAAGGTCAGGAGTTCGAGACCAACCTGAGCAAGAGCAAGACCCCGTCTCTACTAAAAAAAAAAAAAAATAGAAAGAAATTAGCTGGACAACTAAAAGTATATATATAAAAAATTATCCGGGCATGGTGGCACATGCCTGTAGTCCCAGCTACTCGGGAGGCTGAGGCAATAGTATTGCTTGAGCCCAGGAGTTTCAAGTTGCTATGAGCTAGGCTGATGCCATGACACTCTAGCCCGGGCAATAGAGACTCTGTCTCAAAATAAATAAATAAAAATAAAAATAAAAAAATAGAAAGAAATTAGCTGGACAACTAAAAAAATTAATTATGTATATATATATATATTAGCCAGGCATGGTGGCACATGCCTGTAGTCCAGCTACTGGAGAGGCTGAGGCAGGAGGATTGCTTGAGCCCAGGAGTTTGAGGTTGTTGTGAGCTAGGCTGACGCCACAGCACTCTAGCCCAGGCAACAGAGTGAGACTCTGTCTCAAAAAATAAAATAAAATAAAAATAAACTTTATTGTCTCTCGTTTTAGGTGATGCATATTTAAGCAAAAGGCAGGCTGGGTGGGTAGCTCACACCTGTAATCCTAGCACTCTGGGAGGCCGAGGCGGGTGGATTGCTCGAGGTCAGGAGTTCGAAACCAGCCTGAGCAAGAGCGAGACCCCGTCTCTACTAAAAATAGAAAGAAATTAATTGACCAACTAAAATATATATATACACAAAAAATTAGCTGGGCATGGTGGCACATGCCTGTAGTCCCAGCTACTCGGGAGGCTGAGGCAGTAGGATCACTTGAGCCCAGGATATTGAGGTTGCTGTGAGCTAGGACGCCACGGCACTCACTCTAGCCTAGGCAACAAAGTGAGACTCTGTCTCAAAAAAATAAATAAAACATAAAAAAAAAAAGCAAAGGCAGGCCGGGCGCGGTGGTTCACGCCTGTAATCCTAGCACTCTGGGAGGCCGAGGCGGGCGGATCGCTTGAGGTCAGGAGTTCAAAACCAGCCTGAGCAAGAGCGAGACCCCATCTCTACTATAAATAGAAAGAAATTAATTGGCCAACTAATATATATAGAAAAAATTAGCCGGGCATAGTTGCGCATGCCTGTAGTCCCAGCTACTCGGGAGGCTGAGGCAGCAGGATCGCTTGAGCCCAGGAGTTTGAGGTTGCTGTGTGCTAGGCTGATGCCACGGCACTCACTCTAGCCTGGGCAACAAAGTGAGACTCTGTCCCAAAAAAAAAAAAAAAAAAAAAGCAAAGGCAGCACTATCAAAAGAATGGGCTTGGATTTGAATTTTGCCTTTAGTGCACATTAGACATCAAGCAAATCTTAATGTTTTATTTTTCAAAACTTCAATTTTTCCCATCTCTAAACTGAGGATGATAATACCTCCCTTGCAACGTTGCTTCAAGGATTAGAGACGTCGTATGCAGAGCACCTGGTAAGGGGCCCAGTATATAGCAGAAAGTCCATCGGAGTAGCTGTTGTTTTGGGTGGTAGTGGTGGTGGTTTATATTAATATGTGACCTCATGGATTAAGCACTGGACTTTGGGTCAAAGGACATGCATTTGGATCATGACTCTTCCATTTAGTAACTATGAAAATCATGAAAATACTTTTAAAGATATTGTTAGGCTCATTCATCCTGAAGCTCTTCACATGTAAAAACAAGTACAATTTCCCTTCTTATTTTTATTTTAAGGTTCATATGAAATAGCCCTTAAATATAAATGTCATATAAAAATAGGATATCATTGCTACTAACTCTTTGAAAGTTAGTCATCTAGGCTAATACATAGACATGTCACTGTATGGTATACAGGTATCACCATACTAGGAATATTTTCAGAAGTCCTAAGAACAACAACAAAAAAAATTGAAACAAGAAATTTTTAGCCATGTCTCCCAGGTAGCTCATCAGACAATCAGGGCCCTACAGCTCAGAGGAAGTATAGTGCAGCCCACCCTCCTTATGTGCCAGAAGAGGAAACTGAGGCCCAGAGAAGTGAAGTTATCTCTTCAAAAGGACACCACAGGGCAGGGGTTCCAAGAAGTGAGCCTGTCCCCAGTCTGCCATCGGCAAGCCCGGTGGTCACCAGGACTACACTATTAAGTCTGTCCCTGTGTATACCCACTGGCTTTAGGATCTCTGCATCTGGTAGGTGGGAAGTACTGGAGCATAAATCCAAAACCGTCTGCTAAGCTGAGCTGGAGGATAAAATTGCCTGAGTGCGTTTCAGTGTAGGGCTGGAGGGCAGTGAGGGGCTGGAAATCCACCTCCTGAAGCTCCTTCCACCCTGTGCATTTATGATGTCATCCAGGAAACATCTCAACAACATAGATGGAACTAAATGTCTTGCCAGGTGGTGGCCTGTGATCCACACAGACAGCCCCTGACTCACAAAGAAAGACTACAGAGGTCCCATGCAAACAAACAGCTGCCACCATCCGCCAGCTTCTGCCACCCTGCAGCTGCCATGGGCTGTGTGAAAAAAACTAAAAAGAAAGAAAGGGGTAGGAAAAAAAATCTTGGACCACTCGCAGATTCCGCACATTCAGAGGCAGAGGAAGGGAAGAAATTGTGGAAACAGGAACCGCATAAGGGAACGGACTCTTGGCATAAATTTCAGCCACGGGAGATCTGGCAGCAGCCTCCACTCTCTCTGCCTTGAAAAATCTCCTGGGAATGACTGTCCGCTCTCGTCCCCTCTGCCAGAAATTCTTGTCTCAAAGCCTTTTTGGAAGAAGGAAAGCAGGGAATAAATAATAATTAATTTCAATTTACCATTAGAAATCTCTTTTGGAACATTACTCTCCTTGACAATAGTTAAGAATATCTACCT